CTTCAACGTACTTATTTCCTTTCCTTTGAATACATGCTCAATAGTGGGATCACTGGATCACACAGTATTTCTATATGTAGTTATTTGATAAACCTCCATAATGCTTTCTATAATGGCTGTGCTATTTTCCATTTCCACCAACAGCATATAACAGTTCCTTTTTTCTCCATATCCTGGCCAGAATTTCTTATTTTTTTGTCTTTTAGACAATAGCCATTCTAACTAGGGTTAGATAATATCTCATTGTGGTTTTGATTTTTTGCATTTCATTGATGATTAGTAATGTTGAAATACTTGGCCATCTGTTTGTCTTCTTTTAAAGAGTGTCTATTCAGATCATTGTCAAAGTAATTGGTTTGCTGTTGTTGTTGTTATTGAATTGTTTGAGTTCCTTGCATATTCTGAATATTAATCCATTGTTGGCTGAGTAGTTTGCAAATGTTTTCTTTCATTCTTCATTGTCTCTTTACTCTGTGAAAAAGCTTTTTAGTTTGATATCATCCCATTCATCTGTCTTTGCTATTGTTGCCTGTGATTTTGAACTCTTAATCATAAAATCTTTGCTCAGACCAATGTCTTAAAGCATTTTTCTTTATTTTTTTCCTGGCAGTTTTGTATTTTAACGTACTATATTTAAGTCTTTAATTCATTTTGAGTTGATTTTTGTATATGATGAGAGGTAGGAGTCTAATTTTATTCTTCCGTATATGAATATACAGTTTTCCCAGAACAATTTATTGAAGAGACTGTCCTTAGTGTATGTTCTTTACACCTTTGTTGAAAATCAGTTGGCTGTAGATACATAGATTTATTTCTGAGTTCTCTATTCTGTTCCATTGGTCTATGTGCCTGTTTTTATGCTAGTATCATGCTGTTTTGATTACTATAGCTTTGTAGTATATTTTGAAGCCAGGTAGTGTGATGCCTTCAGCTTGGTTCTTTTTTGATCAGAATTTCTTTGACTCTTTGAGATCTGTTTGTGGTTCCATATGAATTTTAACATTTTTTTCCTATTTTTTGTGAAAAATTTTGTTGGTATTTGATAGGGATTGCATTGAATCTGTAGATCACTTTGGGTAGTATGGTCATTTAACAATATTGATTTGTTGAAGCTATAAACATTAGATGTCTCTCAATTTTTTGTGTGTCCACTTGAGTTTCTTTCATCAGTGTTTCATGGGTTTTTGTTTGTTTGTTTTTGTTTTTGTAGGGATCTTTCACCTCCTTGGTTAAATTTATTCATAGGTACTTAATTTTTTTGTGGCTATTGTAAATGAGATTGTTTTCTTGATTTTGTTTTCAGCTAGTTTATTATTTGTGTATAAAATCACTACTGATTTTTGTATGTTGATTTTGTATGCTGTGATTTTAATGAATTTGTTTACTAGTTTTGAGAGTTTTTTGGTGGAATCTTTAGGTTTTTAATATATATAAAATCATGTCATCTGCAAACAGGTACAATTCGACTTCCTTGTTTCCAATTTGGATATCATTTATTTCTATCTCTTGCCTAATTGATCTGGCTAGGACTTCCAGTACTATACTGAATAAGAATGATGAGAGTGGGCACGCTTGTCTTATTCAAGTTCTTAAAGAAAAATCTTTTATCTTTCATCCCATTCATTATGATGTTAGCTCTGGGTTGGTCATATATGGCCTTTATTGTGTTGAGTTATGCTTCTTTTATACCTAATTTGTTGAGAGTTTTTATCATGAAGTGATGTTAGTTTATCAAATGCCTTATCTGCATCTATGGAAATAATCATGTGCTCAACATCGCTAATCATGAGGGAAATGCAAATCAAAACCATAATAAGATATAATCTCACCCTAGTTATAATAACTATTATCAAAAAGACTAAAAATAACAAATGCTGGTGAGAATGAAAATAAAAGGGAACACTTATACACTATTGGTGGGAATGTAATTTAGAAAAGTCATTATGGAAAACAGCATGGAGTTTCCTCACAAACTATAAATAGAACTATCATATGATTCAGCAATCCTGTTACTGGGTATTTATCCAAAGGAAACAAAATAAGAACACCAATGGGGTTTCTGTACCCCAGTGTTTATTGCAGCACTATTCACAATATCTGGTATGGAATCGACCTAAGTATCCATCAACCAATGAATGGGTATTGAAAAGGTGGTATATACACAATGGAATATGACAGTCACAAAAAAGAATGAAAGCCTGTCATTTGCAGCAACATAGATGAGCCTGGAAGATATTATGTTAAGTAAAATAATTCAGGCAGAGAAAGATAAATACTGAATATTCTCACTCATATTGGGAGCTGAAAAAGTTGAGCTCACATTAGTAGAGATTAGAATTGTGGTTACTAGAGGCTGAAAAAGATAAGGCAGAGGGAGTACAGGGAAAGGTCTCGAATGGCTAATGGATACAAAACAGCTAGATAAAAGAATAAAACCTAGTGTTCTACAGCAGTGCTAGGTACCTATGATTAACAATAATTTATTGTATATTTTCAAATGGATAGAAGAGAGTTCTATGTTCTCAACACAAAGAAATTATAAATGTTTGAGGTGATAGATATGCTAATTACCCTTATTTGATCATCACACGTTGTAGACATGTATTGAAATATTTTATACCCTGTAAATATATACAATTATGTGTCAATTAGAAAATAAATATACATAGATACATATATATATTAAATCCACCTTGCCAATTCCTTTGTTTTAATTTGGATATTTAGACCATTTATATTCAATACAATTACTGATATTATGTGGCTTAAATCTTTCATGTACTTTTTGTTTTCTGTTAGTTCCCTCTTTTCTGTTTGTCTGTTTTATTTTCCCTGCCTCTCAGTGGGTTATTTTACTTCTTTAAGAATTCCACTTTAATTATCTGTGACACTCTAAGGATGCAAATGTTAGATATTTTGTTATAGTTTTGTAGGTACCTGAGGCTCTGTTTATTTTATTTTATTTTCAGTTTATTTTCTTTTCCTTCTTTGTATTGTATAATTTTTTATTGTTCTACCTTTAAGTTTACTGAATTTTTCCTCTGTCATTTCAATTTTTCTGTTGAGGTCATCCACCGAGATTTACATTTTAGTTATTGTATTTGTCAGTTGTAAAATTTCTATTTTTATCTTCTTTATATATTCGATTTTTTTCTGAGATTATTTCTTTCCCAACACTATTTTTTCATTTGTTTGAAGTGTGTCTACAATTGTTCCCACAGATTTTTTTATGATAGCTATTTTATTTATTTATTTATTGGCTGAAGGCCAAACAATTTTTATGTAAGTATACTGAATAAACATACAAACAAATATCTTTAACAAAATATTGTCAGACCAATTTCAACATCTTCACAACCAGCTCCTGAAAAAGTACTGATAACTGAGATGTAAATGACCACTTCAATTTGATCATGCCTGGTTACTGGGAATTTTTTGGTCAGGTTTATGCCTGAAGCTGCTATATAGCTGGATTTTGCTACTTTGCATTAATTCACACAATAAATGCCTTTTATAAGGAAATAGCAGATCTATCACGACGAAATCAAAATCAAAACAGTTGAGAGGTATACAGAAAACTTAAATATCTTTAAATTACACATGATATAACCTTAGAGAATGTGAGCTACCGTTACCATGGTCTAAATCTTAAACTGTTAATGCATGAATTATCTGCAAGACTATCAAGTCACTTGTTAATTATGTCAAGGCCTTGCAGGGGAGGGGAAACTTTGAATGTATGGCATAGCAGTTATTTTCCAGGTGAGTTAAACACCTCTAAGTGTTATTAAACTATATTTGAAAAGTTACTCTACTTAATATATACAATGTACAAAATACGTTAAAAGGAGGAAGCAGAGGAAGGTTTCCTGGTACATATGGTACAACATATAACTTTCCCTCATCAGTAGTTCTATGTATGTCCATTTTACCCATGGTAAAACATGAAAGTCTGATAGAAGATCAAAGATCAAAAACTTCACTTATAAATAGAAACAGGATTCAAAAAATGGAATTTTGATGTCGTTTCTTCCCACACTGCAACTCACTTTAACTATAATAAACATAAATAAAAACCATGTCTCAAAAATCTGTTTTTATACCCTTACCTTAAAGTTTAACATAAATTCTTCTAACAATTGAGAAGAAAAGCACTCCTTTATATCAATTCCATAAAATAATTTTCAATTCACAAAACACCTGTCTACTAGTAAAACCAGCAACCCTTATGGAGGGCTTAGGCATTAATACTTGGCCCCTCTGAGGTATAAATGCAGTTATATTTGCACTGAGTATATAGTCTATAATGTATGCCAATGGTCTGCATGTTTGCATAACATTGGCAGTGATGTCATCCTGGATGATTGAAATTTTATTTTTATAACTTTTTGTAATAATGGAGGTTAAATAATTTTAAGAGAAAAGATATACTTTAAGGCCGACCCGTGGCTCACTCGGTAGAGTGCAGTGCTGATAACACCAAGGCCACAGGTTCGGATTGTATATAGGAATGGCCGGTTTGCTCACTGGCTGAGCGTGGTGCAGACAACACCAAGTCAAGGGTTGAGATCCCCTTACCGGTCATCTTTAAAAAAAAAAAGAAAGAAAGAAAAGAAAAGATATACTTTAGCCCAGTAATACAGCCAGCAGAATTCTGAATTCCTAACCAATGCAAATGGTTATTACATTTAAAAAATGTTTAACATTGCATATTGATTAAAAAAATAACTGAACAGGAAAAACACATAAATATTTAAATTCAGCAGGACACTACAAAAAGCATACTATAGATATGTCTGAAATCAGTCAAGCTTTTCCAAAAGAGAAAATCCTTTTAATCCTTCAGCAAGTCTCTGTGAAAATAGTATGCTTACAATAAAAGTGAGAAGAGGCTTTTACCCCCAAGAGGCTTGCTATACCATACAGCCTTACTCTCCTGTGTGCATGGATGGCCAACAAACGACAAGAGGTCCATGTGACAATAGTTCAGTAATTCCTTTTCACCACTGCTGCCAGCTGAAGTCGTCATTGCTTCCAAAGACCAAGAAAAAGCCTAGTATGGTTGCAAAGATGACTGTGTTTCCTGTGAGAACACACAAGCTCCCCATTCAGTCAGATGTGCTCTGGCAAATACAATAGGGAGTCCAAAAGCTGAGACAACGATGCCTGTTGTAAGAAATATGGCGAGTTCCTTACACGCGTTGCTCATAGCATCTGTGTCATCTACTAACCTTCTCGCTATGCAGTACGGGATAGGTGAGAGGACGTAGAAAGACAGAACAAAGAGGGGCGAGTATTTGTTGTATATTGGAAGGGCACATCCAAGCATCAAAAACATCAGCCCAATTGCTCCCCCAAAGGACAAACTAATCAAAGCTTTGATGCCGGCCATGGAGGTGGACGTCGCTCCTGGCTCCACCACCCGAGGCGGCAGCGTCTGCGGCCGGGAGACCTGAGATGCGCGGTGGCGGCGGCGGCGGCCAGACAACACCCGGAAGTCTATGATAGCTATTTTAAAATCATTGCCAGATAATTCAACAACTATGCCATCTCAGTATTCATTTCTCTTTTTAGTCTTTTCTCATTCCTGTTATTTTCCTGGCTATTGGTATAGTAAGAACTCTTTTATTAAAACCTGGTGTAGACCTAGGGTTGGGTCTGGAACTCACAGAACCCTCAGGTCCATTGTCCAGACTGGGTCACAAACCCTTCACATGCCGGTCTACGAGTTAGATAACCAGAAAAAAGGTCCTTGGAGCCTTGGTTGAAGAAAGAGTAGTCTTTACTTCTGCGCGCACACACACACACACACACACACACACACACACACACACACACACACACACACACACACACA